ACAGTAGTAACAAAAAAAATAAAAAATACAAAAGATCAAACAAGTGATGTAACGGTCCTATCTATGAACACTTGTATTATTTTCACTGAATTACTGCAACCCGCTAAACTCGTCAATCTACTTACATCAATTAGCATATTAAATGGCGCCACCTCATTTATTAGTACTAGAGCCAAATTTCACGACCATATAAGGAGCGTGACGTCACTTACTTATAGATATAGATATAATAGTTTTTGTTGTTTAATTAAAATACGTTAATTAAGAGTAATTTCAATGTAACAAAGCATTTTTTATATAGATTTTAGGGCATAGATTAAGATTATAATAAGTTTAATTACTTTTATCTGCAAAATTATATTAATGTGAAAATTAAATTTATTTATTATGTTAATTATTATAATGAAGCGGATACTCTCAACTTAAGATGACTATCTCAGAAACATGAGTAAGAATTCAGTTTATTGATAACAGCTTAGTTATTACTGTTATCAATAAATAAACAATTAATAATTTATTGAAACAAATAATTGTACGAGGTGTGATCAAAAAGTAAGGTGAATTTTTATTTTTCTCAAAAAATATTTATTTATTCATCAATTTTTATTTTATCTCCTTCAAAGTAATCCCCCTCGGATATAATGCACTTGTGCCAACGCTTTTTCCAATCCTCAAAGCATTTCAAAAAATCATTTTTTGTGATCTTGTTTAGTTCATCCTTCGATGCCGCCTTTATCTCCTCAATTGTGGCAAAACGCCGTCCTTTCATGGGCCTCTTCAGTTTTGGGAACAAGAAGAAGTCACAGGGGGCCAGATCTGGGGAATACGGTGCCTGTGGCATCGTTACTGTGTTGGTTTTAGCCAAAAATTCGCGCACAAGCAACGATGTGTGAGCAGGGGCGTTATCATGGCGCAAAAGCCAATTTTTATTTTTCCACAAATTCGGACGTTTCTAGCGGATTGCTTCGCGCAAATTGCGCATAACTTGCAGGTAATATTCCTTATTTACTGTTCTATCCTGTGGCAAGAACTCATGATGCACCACGCCCCTGCAGTCAAAGAAAACTGTAAGCAAAACCTTTACATTTGATCGAACTTGGCGTGCTTTTTTTGGTCTTGGTGATCCAGAATGCCTCCACTGGGACGATTGAGTCTTAGTCTCGACGTCATAACCGTATACTCATGTTTCGTCACCTATTATAACCATGTTGAGTAAATCTGGATCATCGTTGACGTCATTCAGTAGCTCTTGGGCGATGCTCATGCGACGTTTCTTTTGGTCGAAATTGAGCAATTTCGGAACAAACTTCGCTGACACACGTCTCATGTCTAAAACACTCGTCAAAATTGATTGGCACGAACCAAATGAGATGCCAATATCATCAGCAATTTCTCTAATGGTAATTCGACGATTTCCCAACACTATTTTCTTCACTTCTTCAACATTCTCATCAGTTGTTGATGTGCTGGGGCGTCCAGAACGAGGTTCGTCGTCGGTGTCTTCTCGGCCTTCTTGGAAGAGTTTATACCACTTGTAAACATTTTTTTGGCTTAAAGTAGACTCACCGTATGCCACTTTCAGCATTTCAAGTGTTTTGGAACATTTGATTCCATTTTTCACACAAAATTTAATGCAAACTCTTTGATCCATGTTTTTAGACAGCAGCAAATCGTGGAGCACGCAAAACACTTCTAACCTTGATGCCTCTCACAAACAAACCAAACATACTACAAAGCTGAAATTTGGAACGTATGTTCTAGACGAGTGTACCGATATAACCAAATAAAAAAGTCGAAGATCGAACGGACGTAGCCCGATAAATTTCAAAATTCACCTTACTTTTTGATCACACCTCGTATGTGAAATTTTATCATTATTTTATTGTAAATATTGCTCTATTATATTAACTAACTTTATTAGTTAATAACTTTTGACTATACTTTGTGCGATAAGTGTAAATTATCCATATCTAATTCTATAAATTTTACATGCTTTAAAATTTCGTTATTGCTGTCTATTCTATTGTAAACAAGAGAAAATGATTTTGCATACTTGCGTAAATAGTTCGAAGAGGGCTGTCCTGTGAAAATAGGCGGAAAAATCTGTATAAATACGCTGATTTTTACACAAGCTAAATTCTTTATCTCAAGTGATTAACTGAGCAAATTATTCCTTTCCTATTGTAATTTACGCTCGACTCATAGAACGTTTCGCGCTACAAGAAACTTGGGCTGAATTACATCCTTTTTACAAGAAACACTTAAGCTCTGCTTATGAGATACTTCGCACCATAAGAAACTAGGTGAAAGTTTATCTTTCCTTAAATCCAATTCATATAATCATAGATATTCATTTATAATTTTATTTCAAACTTAATGTTCATAAGCATTTTCAAAGTTAAAACGAATTCTTACTCATTAACGCGACAGACCATGAGAGTACGAACAATATTATAAATAATAGGTGATATTAACATCACAGTGTGAAAAACATGAATAAAATTAAATTAAAACTTAAAACTAGGTCGGCGCAAAGCAGTAAGAAAAGCAATTAGAATCGGACATAACATTACATCAATTAACATGAGAAATCGGCTAATTAATGGGGAATTGCAACGGACGCAAGACAAAGAGTTCAAGGCGATGTTCACGCGAAACAACAAGTCATACGAATGCAAATATAGATAGTCAGGTACACGCAGCGAGGCTCAACGAAAGCGTCAAGAATACGGCAAGGCATGTGAAAATCGAGGCAGTGACGGGAAGCAAAATCAAGAAAAGATCAGAGAGGTCGAAGGACGTGAGATAAGTCAGGCAAGAAAACGGGCAGCAAAGACTAAGGCAATCAGAGGCTAATGCCACTACAAAAATTAGTGGAGAATGAAAGTAAGTAGTATAGGTGAAGATATTTAGAAGGAGAGAGCAAAGTGGAAGGATTAGGGAGGCCCATTAAAGGAAGGAATGTTGAATTTGAGGTAGCGTCCAGGAATTTGAAGGTAATTGGAAGAGGATGTAAAAGCAGAGACGGTGAAAGAAAGAGAAACTGGAGGATGGTTAGAAAGAAGGGAAGAATCAGTGAGGAACTTCGTATCAACTCGATGGCAGAATAGCTGTTGCTCGAGAGACATGAACATGGAGTAAAGCCAGGATTTGAACTCACCATATATCGCCATATCAAAGTCGGTGATTGAGAGCTGGTTGAGAAAGAACATATCTCGAAGCGATACAGACTGATTCCAAGCTTCTGTACGTAGAGAGGGATAGAAAAAGACCATAGGAGTGTCCTGGAAAGAACGTTTGAGGTGCGAAGGATTGGAGGATTGAAGATATGTAGTAAAATAGCTGGGTTCGAAAGTGCAGATGATTTTGTAGGTGCGTAATATCAGGGTAATGTATCTCTGTGATTCAAGAGAGAGCCAACTCAGCCGGAATCTATGGAAACACACGTGGGAATGAATGATAGAAGAAAGAATGAATGGAATGAAACTGATTCTGAACCTAACGCATGCATTGTACGCTATTTGAAGGGCAGCTGTTCTGGATTTCTCTAAACTATGAAAGGCTAGAGCGGCATAGCTAAAATAAGGGAAAATAACGGATTGAACAAGGTATTTCCTAGTGAAAATGGCCAGGGACTTTTTATAAAATTTCATTGCATTTAAATTATAATATACTTTTTGAAGGATGTCGGAGATAAAGTGTTTTCAGTGGAGACTATAATTAGTGGGACGGAATTGAGATTAAGGGAGGAGATGTAGCCTTCACTGCCAAGAATGATGACCTTCGTCTTAGATGAGAATGGAAAGACTGATAAGGAGAGAGGTCAAAGAAATAAAAATTGGCAGCTAGTTGTTCATTCAAGACAGAAGGAGCGATGAGATGTAGGGAGCGAAAGGTAAACGGTTTTGAGGAGTTATGGAGAATAAAAAAAGAAAAAAAGAAAATAAATTTTTTGTGTGTCAGTAATATTAATCACCAATGAATTATTCACATTTGGTGTATACATGGCTGATGAACTGAAAAGTGGGGCATTTAAATTAAGAAAAACAATTCAATTTTTAATGGATTTAACATTTCTTTATTGATTCTAAAAATTGAAATCTTTTTTCCTGACCGCTAACTTAGACATGGCCCACATTAAGTTCAATTGGGTGTCTGTCTGTCCCTTATATACCAAGGTGATTGTTTAACAATCATTTGTATTGTCAACAATGTTATCTTTTCATCTTATCTCTCTAAAAGTTACACGAAAAAATTCTTGTCATATCCTTATCCCTGCCATTAAGTGAGATCTGTAGCAGAATTGCTCAATAGAGGTTCAAGTAATAGCAATCAATCAATGATTTCCTCTCTCTCTCTCTCTCTCTCTCTCTCTCGACTAAAAAATAACTCGCTCTACTGAATAGAACGTCATTTGTAAGTGTTAAAGTGTTAATATTTTTTTATTTTTAGTAATATGCTAAGAGCAATGATGCTATTCTTAGATTTTCTTTGTTTTAAGGAAAAATAATAAAATACTAACGAAAGCAAAAGTGAAAACTTAAAATAACTTCTAAAAATTGATCTGTATTTTCATAATATAATTAAAGTATAACTTAATAAAATTGTTAAGTTGTAAATTGTTTCTTGAATCATTCTAATGCAATCGAGATCAAGAAAACTATCCATTTAAAGACATACATATGCAAATACATTTTCCAATGTTTTGAGTAATTTTTAAGGACAGTATTTCATAATCAGTGTGGAATAATGGTCAAAAACACCTTTTAATAAATAACTACAAATGCAAAGTTTTCTCTCTGTGAAAAGGAAAGGCAGTTACAATACGTCCAGCTGATTATATAATAGTTCAACTAATTATGATTTCTTACAATGTTTCTGTTATGATAGAATAAAAATAAATTAAAAAACAAGTAAATAACAAAAATATAAAAAGAAATAGATCAATCTCAACCTAGTCTAAGAAACAGTGAATAATCTCCACTATTTCCTGTCTGTAGGTTTCTACAAGCAGCTTCCAGAACCTATCTCATCTGCGACCGGCCATCATTTACAGTATCGTCGTAAGAGTAATAGCCTGAAACAAAGAGTGCGTGAAAAATTCCTACATATTTGGTGAGTATGAAGTAGTTTCGTCAATCATTCATTATCTATAAAAATACTTTTAAAAACGTAAAAACTTACACAAATGCGTTTTTTATTTGTTTTCCAATTTTTCATGTTTTGAAACTTTTAAAAATAGTGATCTGTATTTTAACCCCTCAACATCCAAACAACATGAATTGTTATTAAAATTTCAACGGATTTTTCAATATAAATTCAATATAAATTTAATTTATATTATTTGTTATTAGATTAAAAAAAAATTGCAATACCACTATTCCGACGTTAAATTTGATGCTATTCCAGAATACGAGCTCAAATATTTTATCAGACACGAAGAAATAAAGATATGAAAGATTTATTCATAAAAAAAATATCAATGTTCGAAAAAATTTACTTTCAACAATTTTTGGGGTATGTTAACGGATGAAATTTATACCTCAATCGTAATCAGGAATGATTACGATACTTGATAACTAAATTGTTATATAATTATTCAATCACTCCTTTTTACTATATTACAGTCAGACCTTAAAAATTCTATAAAACATAAGCTTTTTTTTTTCGAAATCTATTGCGTTGAGAAAAAATTATCTCTTTGTAAGAATAAACACGTCTTACATTTGGTCAAAAAACACCACACAATTTTTTCAGAATTTTTAGAGTAAAATTTCTTTTCTACTCTAAAAAAATTTAAGGGTATTCATTAATAGATTCGAATATATTTTTGTTCTATATAAGTTTTTACTAGATTCAACAAATTTCGTAACAAAATTTATTAAAATTCAAATTACAAATTCCGTTAATTTTTTTTGAAAAGAAAACAAATTGTATTTATCGGTAGATGAACTTGATACAATGTTAGGTATATTATTGCTATTATCATACAATATACGAAATGATTAAAGACAGTGTTAGGAAATTGACTCTCTCGTAAAGTACTCGACTGTTTCATCAGCAATGTCTCGAGATAGGTTTAGCGATATCAAATCAAAAATAAAGTATTCAAAACCTAGTGATAAAAATAATACTGATAAAGCTTGGAAAGTCAGAGAAATTTTAAAAAAATATTCAATATTTATTTGAAAAAAATATTTAATAGTTTGGTTTTTTTAAACTGCTCTTTCCATGAGCGAAGCAGCTCAAATAATGTGCAGCCGTAGGGCGATGGAGGTACTGTAACAAAGTATTTCAAGGTCAAGGATGTTTTGAGAAATTTAAAAACTACTTATTATGTATTCAGAATATCAAGTTTGATCTAAGAACTTCAGATATTATGTGTCTCTAAATTGGTCGTTATAGCAACCACCCGTACTGCTAAAAGGCTAAAAAAACCAATAAGTGCAACTACTTCATCCTCTTGAGTGGAGCTTAGTAGTTATTACCGAAATGTTGGTGTTTTTAAGTTAAAGGTGGAAGCCTTTATACATAGTGCTATCATATACTCTCTAAAAACTGATAATAATAATTATTAAATCCTACCTTAACTCAGCAGTCAATGACGCTGCTCCAAACTCTTATTATCGATTGCATATTTGCCGCCAATTAGTTCTCTGTCGGTTGTCTTTTTTGCTGCATCTATGGATATTTATTGTCAGGCTTTGAAAAGTATCTACTTTTCTGCTTCTGATATACCAATTTATGATACTAGATGACTTTAATCTGCCTCTGTGAACGTGGTCACAAAAATTTCGGTCTGAGTTTTATGCAAAATCGTCGGATAAATGCGACAATTCATGCATCTGTTGAGTGATTGCATTGCTGTATAGCGTCACTCCAATGCCCTTAGTGGCTTAGCCCACTCAATAAGGCTGAATACAATATACTATATTGTAACGGGGTTGCTACCGTTTAATTAATTTTATCCACGTAATCGTATTGAAAAACGCACGTAATTACGTATGTTCAATACGGAAGTCGGAGAGCAAGAGGGAACAGGTGTCAGTCAACCAACTATCTACATGAGTGAAATCAATACGGCGTGAATAAGTTTAATATCGCTGACGGAATCTTTTATTATTTCTCAAATGTTACACTAGAATTGGCCCGCGTATTTATGTTTACATACCGCGCTCGCACGGCAACGACATACGGTATCGGATCGCTCGCCGCTCTTTGTTAGCAGAGCTATCACATGCACGCTTCGCTTCGAGTACGGAAAATTGATTATCAAGCATGCAATCGCGGTCGCGAGATTAAGCTGGCCAGCTTACCTTTTTAACAGTCTTACGGTGAACGGATGAGCAAGTCGCACTCTCGTGGCGGTAAAGTTTATCTGTTCCTTGTCGCGGATCACGAATTCGCGCGCACACGGTTTTCGCCCTCGATGGCGAAACCTCACACACACTTGATTCCGCAGGGAACGACGCTGCTTCAGCTGGCTCAGGTCTGCACTCCGGATAGCTCGGTAACGACAATCGGTTGATCTCTGGAGCACGTTCGGGCAATTCGGTTGCGAACCTCAATCTTTGTGGCCTCCGTGTCGGTAGCTGATTCTCCACTGGTTCGTTTTCAATCGTGCGCGTTCCGTCTCCTCGCGTGCCGAATTGCCTCGTTACATTTTTCGGCTACCGGTAGGTGCTGCCCTTGTGGGCACTGGCATGCATGGGCCGTTAGCGCTAATATGACGTTTACCGTCACAATATATTCATATTCATATTCATATATATTCGTATACACTGAATCTGATCTTCTGCAATAATGCTGTATTGGTGCTTCCTCCACTTGATTCATTTTTTATGATCGTCATGCTCCTCATCTATTGTATACTATACTTGAATCATACCACAGTGTTATGAGGGATATACGGATGCTGCCAACTTCTTTCAACTTCCGGCTAGTCAATAATGAGGTCATCATGTGTGTACTTTATGCGGTGGACTCGGCTGTACTCTTGAATGAACATGCTCTGTTGGATATCAATGTTGATTTGTTTTGGTAAGTTCTTTGAGGTGAGTAGCTTTCATACCCTAAGAATGATGAAAACAATATCTATGGCTAAGTTTCATTCATGCACAAAAAAATTATACACTTTATTATCGTACACGAAAAAATGCATGAATTATTTTGTACACAGGTCATTTTTAATTTTACACCACATATTTAATGGGTAATTTATTGATAAATTTTCATGCATATCATTGTCAACTAAGTGATAGATATATTTAGAGATTGTGCACTCGTTAAGAAAAAAATATGCAACCAACATTGATTATCAATACATAAATATATCTTGCACACTAGAATGTTTATTATGAACTGTGACGGTAAACGTCAAATTAGCTCTAATTACCTAACCTAGTAGCTGCCTGCGGGGGCAGCACTTACCGGTAGACGAAAAATGTAACGACGGAATTCGGCACGCGAGCAGACGGAACGCGCGCGATTGAAAACGAACCAGTGGAGATCCAGCTACCGGTACGGAAGCCACGAAAGTTAAGGTTCGCGACCTAATTGTCCGTACGTGTCCCAGAGTCCTGAGTAATTGTCATCGAGCTACACGGCGTGCAGACCTGAGCCAGTTGAAGAGCATCGTTACCTGCGGCATCGAGAGTGTGTGTGTGTGAGGTTTCGCCATCGAGGGCGAAACCACGTGCGCGCGAATTCGCGATCCGCGACAAAAGGAACAAACAGACTTTCCCGCAGTGAGAATTGTTCTCTTCGTCTACGTGCGTCTGCAAAATAAAGGTAAGCTGGCCAGCTTAATCTCGCGACCGCGATTGCATGCGTGATAACTAATTTTCCGTACTCGAAGGGAAGCGTGCATGTAATAGCTCTGCGAACAAAGAGCGGCGAGCGATCCGACACTGTATGTTGTCGTCGTGCGAGCGCCTCCGTAAACATAAATACGCGGGCCAATTCTAGTGTAACATTCAGAGAGGACAATAAAGAGTTTTCTTTCGTGATATTAACCAGTACTTTCGACGTGTTTATTCCGTATCGATTCCACTCCTGTAGATTTGTAGATTTGTTGGTTGACTGACACCCGTTCCCTCTTGCTCTCCGACTTTCTCATTAGATATAGGTGATTACGAGCGTATTTACGCGATCGCCTTAATAAAAATGATTAAACGGTAAGCAACCCCGTTACAGAACTAATAGTTTTTTACCAAGTTTGTGTACGACTTTATTGTGCACACTCACACTAATACAACGCAAAATTTAATGTTCACACTTCGGCTGTCCTAGAGAAAAAATTATTCCCCATTTATCGTGCACTTTTAGACATTTTTATTTATAAATAAAATTAAATCGTGCACACTTATTTATTGGGAAAATCTTTCACAATTTAGGCAAAGTATCGGTCGTGCACAAAATTATAATACACGCAATTATTATGCACGTACTATTCGTCGAAAAATAAGATACACAGTGCATCGAATTCCCTGAACAGCGCAATTGACAATTTAAAGAGAAAAGAGTATTTTCAGAGATTCAGAGGTGGCACTATTTCTTTAGTAATTGATATTATATGTAACACGTGTATGTTGGTTTATTATTTTACAGATATTTTTGTTTGAAACTGGTAGCGTACTATTTAAAAAATAATATTGTTAATGATAAATTAATTATTTGTTATTATTGTTATTGTTAATATTGTTAATATTGTTTATCGAAAATGTATGTGATAATGTTCAATCATCTGAAATAGATACTTAGCAACTAGTCTTACTTATGTCTCTCTTAGACCATATACACTACGTATGATAAAATAAAACCCATCATTTATGATAATTCAAAATTAACAGCCGCCATTCAATCGAAATTTTTGCAAACAAAGTTTTCGAGTACGTCAATGATTATTGTCATATTTGTATTGGGGTAACTGTGTATTAAAAATTAAAAAATTATTTTAAAAATTGATGAGTCGACGACATTGAACATTGTAATTGAGTGTAAGTGAAAAAAACACAAAAATGTGAATTTCATTATACCTTTTATACTAAAGTAAAGAAGTAGGATATTTAAAACTTTAATAATCTCTAATCTTTAATTAAGAATGAAATTATCTA